GAGCGGCGCGGGGAAAGGGAGAAGCCTCGCCCAGGGCTGCATGGTGCGGCCGCGAGGGTGCTGGGGGTGCGGCTGGGAGGAAGGGTGAGCAGGAGCCCTGCCAGCCCAAGTGTCACTGCCTGGCACTCACAAACAGCCTGCGCTCCCACTGCCAGCGCGGTACGATGGGAGGGATGAGGGTTCCCGGGCACTGGGGGTGTCGGTGCCCAGCAGGTGATGGAATATCAGCAACGGGAGATGGTGCAGAGTAGTCCTGGACACAGCACTGCTGACGGGAAGGGCTGGGAGGGTCTCGTGCCCAGAGAGCCCAGAAAGCACCAAAGGCCCAGGGAGGGCAGGAACAGAGCTGTGCTCCAGTGCCTCTCCCAGCCAGATACAAGTCCTGGTTCAGGGTTGACCATGGTCCCCCAAACAGAATGACTGAGGTTGGAAAAGTCCTCTCAGACCATCCAGTCCAACCATTCCCCGGCACTGCCAAGGCCACCAACCACGTCCCCAGGTGCCACATCCACATGGCTGTTAAATCCCTGCAGGAATGGTGACTCCAGCCCTGCCCTGGGCAGCTGGGCCAAGGCTGGACAACCCTTTCTGTGGAGAGTGTTTTTCCCCAGTATCCAATGTAAACCTCCCCTGGCCCCTCCCAAGCCCACCACTAACCATGTCCCCAAGTGCCACATCAGTGGCTGTTAAATCCCTCCAGGATGTGACTCCAGCCCTGCCCTGGGCAGCTGGGCCAAGGCTGGACAACCCTTTCTGTGGAGAGTGTTTTTCCCCAGTATCCAATGTAAACCTCCCCTGGCATAGCTCAAGGCTGTTTCCTCTCATCCTTTCACTGTCCCCCCCTGGGAATAGAACTCAACCCCACCTGGCTGCACCTCCTATACGGGAGTTGTAGAGAGTGACAATTTTGCCCTGAGCCTCCTTTTCTCCAGGCTGAGCCCCCACAGCTCCCTCAGCCGCTCCCGGGGCTCCAGCCCCTTCCCAGCTCTGTTCTCTTCCCTGGACACACTCCAGCCCCTCAATGCCTTTCTTACCATGAGGGCCCAGATGTTACTTGCGAGGAGTGAACTCGCAGGCAGCAAACCAGAACTGAACCTTGCTGTTCTTCTTTCAAAAACAGTTGTCACAAGACCTTGAATAAAGCCTGTCTCCCAAAATGCCACTTGCTCCTTCCCAGGATTAGGTAGAAAGACACTTCCAATTGGTTGACTTCACTCATTGGCACAAAATAACTAAATGAATCAAATTGTGAGCTAAAGAATTCCCATTCCCCCAGAGAACCCCAAATCACTCCATTTCCAGCTGTTATTTATTTCCCTCTGTCCCAGCCCTCAGTACAGTCACACTCCAGAGCAGCAGCACAGCATTCCAGTCCAGGAGGCAGCAAAGCTTTAGGTACCATATTTCTGGCTGAACTACATAAAAATGTACCATTTTAAGCAAATAAAGACCTGGTGCTACACCAAATCCTGCTCAGACACTGCCATGGAGGTGGTGGTGGAAGAACAGACACAGGTGACACCTAGGTCACAGGTGTCACCAAGGGAATGGTGACAGGGAGAGGGGGGCAAACTGCATCCAAAATTCTGTGAATCTTTCAGTTTCATCTGCAAAGCCTTTGTTTGAAAATCTTGTGTCTGTGGTATGGAGGAGAACAAGGAACCAGGAAGAAAATGTAACTAGGAAGAAGATGGATTAAAGATGCTGATGCCAAGCAGGGCTGGTCCCACCCTGTCACTCCCATCACTTGTTTAAAGACTCTGAGCTGGAGGTTGGAAGTACAGGAGAGGAGTGACACAGTCACTGAAAATCTGCATTTATTTCCCCCAAACTTACCCCATTCATCCACTTGGATCATTATTCCCTGTTGGAAAAGCAGCCCAAGGGGCTCCCTCCCTGCAGTTTCCAAGCTGGCTGGGGTGACACAGCTCTGGTCAGAAAAGCCTGGAATGCTTTGGGTTGGAAGGGACCTTAAAGATCATCCAGTTCTGCCCCTCTGCCATGGGCAGGGACAGCTTTTAAGCCCTGTGGACAGCAAGAAACAGACCTGTGGCTTCTCAGGGGGTCTGAGCCCTGTTTAGCCACCAATGTATAGCCCTTCCAGAGGCTGGGATGGAGGGATGGATCCCAGTACTGCTCACCAGGACAGCTGCTCCTTTGCTGGGGACAAACTGCATCCAAAATTCTGGTCACCTGTTAGGTTGCTCACACCAAGGTGCCAAGCAGCTGCTGTGCCTGTTGGCACCAAGATCTGCTGGAAGGGTCTCACCACTGCTCAGCTGGGACAGTTATCACCAGGCAAGTGGCTGCTTCTCAGGATTTAAAGCCATTAGACAAATCCCTGTTCCATTTGTGTGGCTCTCACACAGGGAACACACAGGTTACACCTAAGAGCAGTAAGCAGATACATGCAAATGCGTTTAAGAGTGAAATGGTGAAAGCAACAGTGCAACCACTAAGCCAGTGCTTGGGAATGCTGCCTGGGAGAGGGAGAAGCTGGATGTCCCCACATGCCATTCCTAGAACCAGACCACCTTGTGTAGTTCCCAAATCCCACCCTGAACAGAGCAGTTCTGTCACTGGAAACTGGTTCTAGTGCACCCAGAAGCAACAATCACTATTTAAGTAGCAGCATGGAAGGAAAGATCAAATCTTCAGCTGGCAATGTAGCTCCTGCTTTTGGTCTCTCCTTTAAAGAAGACACCTCAGGCCCCAGTCCCACTGCATCCACATCAGGCTCCTAAAAAATATCAGGAGCTCCCTCCTAACTCGCCAGGTTTGACTGTTCCTAGCCCAGACTCTCACACCAACACTTGTACAATGGTCTGCATGTGACACATGACAGCTTGAGAGAGCAACAGGAGGATAAATATTCTTCATCATAATATAAATATGCTGTAGAACATCTCAACAGGGGCAAAGTGCTTTGTTTTTTCCTTAATCAGAACAAAATAAAACCCTAAATGTAACTGTCTCGACCACAACAGAAAGGTTTGACTCCTAAAAACATCTGAACAGTCTAAGTGACACTGAAACTGAGATTAAGGTGATGCAGGCAGTGCTCAGTCCTTGGGGACTCGGAAGTTGTCCTTCTCTTTCCTGATGGCTCCCATGGTTCGCACAGGGTCGGTCTCCCCTGCGTGCTGCTGGACTGTCTTCTCCCTGCCACAGGGAAGAGCAGGCACAGTGTCAAACCTCAGCTGGGAAGTCACCACTGTCATGTTTCACTGCAGCAAGGGGAAATGCTGCACTTGGAGATCAAAGATTCAGGGCTTTGGCATGGGTTTAGCAGCTTATCAGTTGCAATGGTTGGGAGGCTCCTGGGCAGAAGGAAATGCAAACACTCTTCTGCCTCCAACAGCATCTTCCGCTGTGCCAAAATCAGCTTTATGAAAGAGTATGATGACACAACAAAGCCTGTTCTGTCTCCTGAGTCACCGAGAGATGCTCACCACAACTCTCAGATCCAACAAGCTTCTGCCAGGACAACCAGTGTTTATTAAGGAGAGTCTTGCGGGCATCCAAACAGGAATGTACAAGACAGGAGAGCAATTCCCACTTACAGCTCTTTTTTTGGAGATCTCCTCCCTCCCACATCCCCTCCCAATACAAGGACCATTCCCACCCCGCAGTTGCTCCATACCTCACTCTCATGAAGGGGTTGTAGGTGAACTCCTCTGCAATGGTAGAGGGTATGGTGGGCTCTCCTGTGTCATACACTGCCTAGAACAAGAAGACACTTCTGCTTCATGAGGAATGTTCGGTGAGCAATACCCTGTCAGTTAGCCAGGCAAGGTCAGTGCTCATCTAACCCAGCTGCCCTCAGGCCAGGCCCTTCCCAAGGCTCTGCATGCAGCCAGACAAGCTGAGGTACCCCCAAAGAGACTTGAGACAGAGCTGACCCTCGCAGACAGGCACTGAGGTACCCCCAGAGAGACTTGGGACAGAGCTAACCCTCCCAACCACGTGCGGACATCAGCCTGTAATTACACCAAGAAGTTTCCAGGAAGAGTCACATCTCCACTGCACAGCAAACTACCTTCTTTGGGCACACACAAACCATGTTCCCCACTTCATCACTGCCCTGGAACACAGCATCCTGACTCTAAATTCCCTTCCCTTGGCCTTTCATTCTCCTCAGCAAGGCTCTGAATGCATCCAGCCCAGGGAAAGAATAACCCCGCTCACCTTGGCCCATGCAAGCTTCTCCTGGATACTGGGATTGTTGGGTTCAACATGTCGCGCAAACTTGAGATTGTTTATGGTGTATTCATGACCACAGTAAACTCTCTGGGAAGAGGAAGGAAGAGTGACATCAGCTAACGCCAAAGCTACAAAGTGCCAGGTGCTATCATCAGTGGTACAGCAGGAACAGAGTCAGTCCTCCAGGACACACAGCACTGGAAACATGCAAGGGACAAGTGCCAGGAGTCATGAGCCAGGACTACCTCCTGCCAGTCCAGCAAATGAAAGAGCTCCATGTCCCAGCTCAGCAGCCTTTAATAAGCAGCTCCTGCTCTTTCCCGACAAAGTAGAGATGCATTTGGGGCAGATATTTCCTTCCCAGAACACTCCAGCTATCCAGCACCAAAGACAATTCCCAATGTGAGCATTCATCCCTCCCACACAAGTGTTCCACACACGCTCTCTAAACAGCAGCATTGTCAGGAGGTTTCTTTTCTGTCTGGTGGTTTCTGGCTAGTTAGCTGACCCAAAAGCAGAGGTTCATACCGTTTCTGGGTCCAGACTGCCCAGGATCTCAATCAGAGCTCTGTACATCTCCTCTGGGGTTCCCTCGAAGAACTTGCCACACCCAGCCACGAACAGGGTGTCACCTGCAAGGGAGGTGTGACACGGCATCAGGCCCACACAGGCCCCTCACAGCCTGAGCACAGGGTCGCTGAGGGCTCAGGCCTGCCACTGCTGTCCTCGCCAAGCAGAAGCACAGGGAGAGCCAAGCTATGCCACTGTCCCACAGACACCACATGGCAAATGTGGCTCCTATGGCAGGAAGCCCCACAGCCTCACCAGGCACACCCTGTCAGTGCCGCCCTACCTGCTGTTCCCTCTTGTCCCTTCCAGAGTGGACAAGGAACACTTGCTTTTTGCTAAGAAGTTGACCAAAGATGAGTTACCTCTGCATTTTCTCCCCAGTGCTCCCTAAAATCTTGCTTAAGCTGTTACCTCTTCCATGCAGGAGCTGGTGGGAGCTCTGGAGAATGCCTGGCAGGACAGGGATGCCATGGAGACTGGGCATAGACTCAGGGAAGGGGAATTCTACTCCCCAAACCGGTATCCAGACCTTGGAGGAGCACCAGCCTTCCTTACTCCCGTATTTTCTCCTCTCAGTTTTGTTACAGACATGAGTACAGATACAAGGAAAAACAACAGGTTTTGGGATCAGCCACATCTTGGCCTGAGACAGGAAATCAACAGCTCTTGTTTCAAGGAAGAAAATGAGTAGGACTCATCCAGGGTTTGCTCTTTATGTTGCTGGTTTACAAACCCAGAGAGGTTTCAACCAGTTCCACCTACTTGCTAGGGGGCCAAGACACAGATGCTAAGCAGCTGCACTGGCAGGAAGGGATGAAGCACATCCAGAGCCAGAGGCACCCAGGCAGAGGGGGAGCTTGTGTCTTTGCAACGCAGACTGCCAGCAGGGGAACCTCCCAAGTCCTCACCTGTAAAAACTGCAGGTGGCTCGGAGCTATTTGGCTTAGTCACATAATAACAGATGTGTCCAGAAGTGTGACATGGCGTACAGAGGCATTTCACATTAAGAGATCCCACCTGGGAAGAAGGCAGAAGACTAGAGCTTAAGCTTCTGTTGGCTAATTGTATGGTTAGAAAAGAATTGCAACTCTCACAATGCTTTATTGGTCCTACAGGCCCAAATTTGCCGGCCAGGAAGCATTAGCTCTGCTCCTGGGAGAGACCAGTGAGGGAGTTCTGTGGAAGGGACTTGTTTCCTCAGAGCAAGTGTTGTGACAAAGAACTGCCAGATCCTCTCACTTACACAAACAGTGACTCAATGCCTGGTTGGCAGCAAGAGCCAACAGATCCAGAGCAACCCAAAACCCTAAACAAAGCTAATCAAGCATGGAAAAAAGCTCCAAACAAAAATAAAGCTGAAGGGAAGAAATGGATGACACTGAGGAAAAGGGAAGGATTAAACACAGCTGTATCTGCACACCCTCCTGTGTGTTTTTGTGCTCCCTCCTTGCTGCTGCCCCCACAAAGGTGCACTGCAAGGACCAGCACTGACATTCAACACTTCTCAGAGCAGCTTGTGTCACCTGCCTGTAAACAAACAGCTCAACTCCAGCCAGGAGCTACTTTAGCTCTGGGAAAGTCATGCAGGCAGCTGGCACTGCTGTCTCTCACCCTGTATTCCAGCTGTCATTTCCGCAGGAACACTTGCATTTGTTCTCTTCTCCAAGCACAGCACAAGCACTGTCTGTCACAGGTCTGTTGTGTCCACCCCAGTATGGCAGGTGGCAGGGACACAGGACCTCTCAGCACCTCCAATGCTCCCATCAACACAGGATCACCAGCCACAACAGTATGGTTCACAGGGCTGGAAGGGGGTGAAAGCTGTGCTTAAACTACCTACTGCATCCAAGAGATGTTTAAAGAACTGTGCCCACAGTATTAACTTAGGTCAGACCACACCTGTGCCACAGCAGGAGATGTCCCCAGAGTCCTGCAGCTCCCTCCCTTTACCTTGAGAGCTGTGAGGTGAGACACTTTCTGTGTCAGAGCTCCGACCCTGCTGTCTCCCCCGTAGACGTGCAGCCCTGTCTCCATCTTCACAAGCTTCTCATTGCCTCCTGCATGGTCCCTGAGAGGTCACAACAATGGATTTGGGAAGGAATGAAGATGAATTTGTGTTACTGCAGTAGTAACCTTCACATGATCATTTCTGCTCAGCCACTCTCCCAGTGTCTAACACTCCTCATATCACAGGATATTGTCACATAAACAGGGTGGAGATAAATTCTCCAGTAATTTGGAGAGAGGGGAGGACTACCCCCAGAAAGTCCATACCTAATTGCAAAATACCAGCCTTAGGGGCTCAGTCAACTCTCCGGTAACTAGGGCAGGAAGAGAATGGGGTTAAGTGAGATGCATACAATCCAGTGTGCCACAAAAAACAGAGCAGACACACAGATATCCAACAGCTCAGCATTCCCTTGCAGTGCTGGTTTGGCCAGCTCAGGGCTGGTTTTCTGGCTCTCCATGCACAGAGGTGGCTCCACTCTGACCCACAGGAGAGATTACTCAGGTTCAGCACTGCTACAGCAAAACATTCATCTTTACACCCTTGGCAGAGCTAACCTGCACCTTGGGTGATCCTCCCACAAGTGCTGACTGCCTCAAAGTCATGTCCTGGCACCTTAGCATGAGTATGCTCCCTCCCACACTCCACAGCTACCCTCACAGCCTGGTTTATCACCAGCCACAAGATTGTCAAGGTTAAAGGCACTGACACAGAGAGCTCAAGGTCCAGATAATTAATCTAGTCATAGCAAGCCCAGGGGAATGAACTCTTGATTCTTCTCACACTTCAGCTCCTGCTTAGAGATCAACTTGATCCATGAAAGCAGGTCTTGGCTGCTTGTGTTTGTGCAGAGAGATGCCAGGCCAGCAGATAGTTACCAGTGATGGTGGGTGGTGAGGACAGTGGTGAGCTTCACGCCGTGCTTCTTCACTGCATCCAAAACCTGCAGGCACAGGGCACAGAAGGAGCATTACACCTCACTTGGAATGACCTGGCAGCATACCTGCTGCCTGGACACAACCTCTCCAAGGTGTTGAGCGCCACAGCAGCAGTTCTGCAGGGAACTACTCCATCTCCAAGCCGCAGTTACAGAGCAGGACACAAGGTCTCTGCTCCAGCCAGCCATTTCCTCTTCTATGCTCTACATCAAACTAAGGGCAAAACCCCAAATCAGGTAAATAACCCTTAGAGTGAGGGACAGGCCTGAGGAAGCCTTGTCTGTACCTATGCCCAGGCAGTATTTCCTGCCTTTCCCTCACACCTGAGTCAGCATGTGACTAATTCATAGATGCAGCAACCTGGAATGACATCCCAGAGCTCATGGGGCAGCAAGCAGTTACCTTCTGGGGCTGCACAGGGTCAACTATGGCTGCCTCCTTGGTTTCCTCATCGATGAGGAGGTACATGTAGTTGTCTGTGAGTGCTGGGAGGATTTCCACCTTCATGTTGGCTTGTGTGATGGTCTTTGAGTCCCTCCGCTCGTGCGCCGTGTGCAGGAAGAGAACCCTCAGCTGCGCTGGACCTGAGCACCCCAAAACAGCCAAACCTCAGTTCAGCACAGACAGAGGACAGGGGGGACAGAGCACACTGTGTCCCACAGCCCCACAGAAAGGGATGGACAGCCCAACCTATCTCCTTCAGAGGAGGAGTAGTGAGGCCACCACGGGACAAAGCCCTAGGCCTGGCTGTGTCATCTTGTGCCCACAGCTGCCCTGGGGATGGGACACTTATCACCCAGAGAGGTGCTCATGCAAGGAAAACACTGTACTTTGATCAGAGAGAAGATTTCCAGGAGCAGCAAAGCATAATGGAGAGGAAATAGCTGGACAAAGGTCAGCCTGGGACAGTGACTTTGCAAAAAAGGTACGTTAGATCCAGGAAACAACAAGGGAGGGGGAAAGGAGAAATGCCGAAATATGGGCACTGCTACAACAGAAATATCCCCAAATGTCCAAAGACATCCTGCACAATGCCTGGAGAGAAGCCAGGGCTCCCTACCTGGTCAGGTAAGAAGCAAGCAGTGCTGGCAGGGCTCTTGCTCACCCTGATGCAACAGCACTGCCTTCCTGTTTGCTTTTGGTTAAATGTTTAATCAGATCCAAGAAGCAAATTCCAGATGCAAATAACCTGAACTCCACTGCTCAACACACAGGTACACAGCTCTTAAAGAAACAACCAAGCCCTGAGAGGCTCTGCCATGAAAAATAAGGAGAAGAAATGAAGAGGACAAAGTATTCCTTGCCCGAACCCGAGTTCAGGCCTGGCTGCACACACGTGCAGGGAAGGAGGTGTCAGTCCCTGGGGGTCAGGAATTAGTTGTGTGAATGCTCATTAAGGTGTTTGCACACGCCAGAGGTGCCTGTGCTGGCTCACACCACTGCCTCTCCCTAAGCTTCCAGTGCTCTGTGCTTGGCCATCTCCACCAGTGCCAAGGGAGGGGTCACCATACTGGTAATCAACCTGCCCCACGCTCCCAAAACAGCTCAGCTTACCCCCGATAAGAGTTGCTCCAGGGAGAAGAGCCTTGCAGACATGCAGGGGCTGCAAATCCCAAGACCCAGGTTCTGACTGGGACCATGGAGCTTCTGACACAAGCCTAGCCTAGGCAGCAGCAGCTGTCCGGCCCCTCTGCTGCAACTGTTCTGCCCATAGCTTCTTCCCCTTCCACCTCCACCATCCCACCTGCTAATGAGGACAATCAGGAGGGGAGATGGCAGCGCTCAAAGAAACCCCAAGGCACAACAGAACACGAAAGCACTGGGCATTGATGGGGAAGGTATGGGGTATTGAGAGAAGGATCCATACCTGCAGAGTGTTCTTCTGGAGCAGAAGACTCCTTACAAAGAAAGAACAATTTAAAAAGCACTTACTATTCCTTGGTAGGAAAAAAATCCCCCCCAACCAACTGCTCCCTAACACAGAGCACTTTTGGGTGCTGTCAGCCACAAGAGCTCTGTATCCTGGGCGTTTGTCTGCATGTCAGACACTAACTGGGGGGGAAAAAATACAACCAAACAAAAGAAAACACAACCTTAACTTCAACTCAAAGGAATAATTCACATACTTAAATCACTCCTTCCCTATGAACCATCTCTAACCTTGGCTGGGAGCCCAAACATCTTTCTGCATGTTTAATTCACAGTTCTTTACAAAACAAACAAACAAGCTACACCACATAAGGAAATGTTTTCTAACACGCAATTTCAGCAAAGAGAATGAGAAAACATCCATCAAGAATGAAACTCATTGTGAATTCCCATGTACAGCTCAGCTGCCCCTTCCCAGCCTGCCCAGTTGGAGCAGAGCAGGAGAGCTCTCACACACTGCTCTGAGGAGGACATGTGCTGACACCTGGGTCTACTCAGGAGAACTCCTCAGGAGATGCAGAGCTTCTGCCCTGGCCCTGCACTAACACAGATCACTGTCACATACATAGCTCTGCTACAAAATCAATGCCCAGTGACCTTCTTCTCGCTCAGCTCTGTGCCACGTCCCTCCTGACTTCATGCCTGGAGCAGAGGAGTGGAGAGAGCAGAGCCAGCAGCCTCTAAATCACACACTTGGCCTTTCTGGAATGGCTCTTCAGTGCAGCTAGAGTCACCAAGAGAAAGGGTTTACAGCTGGGAGTGTTAATGTCATCACAGAAACACATCCATGCTGGAGACTGAGAAGCTGGCAGCACAGTAAGCAAGAAGGTTCCCTCAGAACAGGGGTGCTCTGTGCATTTCCTCCAGAGCCTTTTGATTTGCTCTTTTTATTACATAAAAGAGTGGAAAATTCCTGTTTCAAATGTGGCTGTCACTCCAAGATGACTGCAGGCCCAACGTCAGCTGAGCATCCCTGCACTGCCTCATAGCAAACACCACATTTACCCTACACACAGGTTTTCTAAGGATACTCAGTGAGTTTGTGGCTCCTCACAATACCAAAGGAGTTGGTCCACAAACCCAGGGTGACTCCTGCCCACCTGGCACTCGCTGCTGGCAGCGTGGAAGGTGCAGCACCCACTCTGCGACCCAGTTTGACGTGCTCATTCCCAGGGCAGCATCCGAGACAGTTCCACCTCTGGCAGTTAACCCTGACGGATTCTAGCTAATTATGGCCAGGGTGATGCAAGAGGCCTCTGGCAAGACTTCCCAGCGAGGCTGTGAAGCCAAAGCCTAAGCTCTAGGTCAGGGAGACACTTTCAGACTTTAGGCCCCAACTGTAAATGCCAAGGACAGTTTGGGGTTTGTTTACATCACCAATAAAACCTGTCACCCACCGAATGCAGATTAAACACCAGCCCTGGTGCCCCATTCTCCTCCCCGAGTGCTCTGGAGCTCTGCGGGGCCTCCCGAACGGGTTCTCGATGGCAGATATCGCTGGCTGCTGCAGGCAGCAGCACCGGCTACGGCCCAGCAGGTACTGACCTGCTTTGGGCTGAGTCAGCTCAAGCCTGGGCACACCCCGAGCCGGGAAAGAGCAGATAAATCCCACTGAGCACCGGCAGCCCTTGGGACCCCACAGCTCCCGCGGGGTCCCTGCACAGCCCACGCGAACATTCTCAACGCGGTCCCCGCACAACCCCCGGGGACCGTACACATCCTGCGCAGTGCCGCCCCGGGGTCCCTGCTCAGCCCCCGGGCACA